TGTTACGTGTTATTTGGCGTTTGTCTCTACTAACCCCAAATCAACATCATAACACTTTTTATTTACTTTTATATACATTTCCTTTTTATTATTTTATTGCTTAAATATTTTATTTAGTAGACACCTATATTTGAGTAGATGCTAAACTTATATATTAAACAGTATATCTATTTCTTTCCATCAACTGTGCTGAATATTCAAATAATCTTATTAGAAAAAATATGTGTTAACACATATTTTTCTGATAAGATCTCTTGAATATTCAGTCTGGGAAGTGGGAATAGATAAATATACTGTTTAATAAATAAACAGAGTATTTACTCAAATATGTGTATCCACTAAAAATAAGGTTTAAGCAATAAAATAATAAAAAAGAAATGTATCATATTAATAAATGAAAAATCTATTCCTAAAAAACCATTACTTTGTTTCTTTTTATAAAATATTAGTTGTTCTTAAATAATTTTTGTTTCATTTTATTTAAATTTCATTGTTGCATTTTGTACACTTTCTTTGTTGTTTTATGAAAATTGTTTCTTTTTATTTCATTTCATTTGGATTTCTTGTTGCATTTTGTACACTTTCTGTGTTCCATTATGAAAAATGTTTCTTTTATTTCATTTTGATTTGAAGTTCTTGTTGCATTTTGTACACTTTCTGTGTTCCTTTATGAAAATTGTTTCTTTTTATTTCATTTCATTTGGATTTCTTGTTGCATTTTGTACACTTTCTGTGTTCCATTATGAAAAATGTTTCTTTTATTTCATTTTGATTTGAAGTTCTTGTTGCATTTTGTACACTTTCTGTGTTCCTTTATGAAAATTGTTTCTTTTTATTTCATTTAATTTGGATTTCTTGTTGCATTTTTGTACACTTTCTGTGTTCCATTATGAAAAATGTTTCTTTTATTTCATTTTGATTTGAAGTTCTTGTTGCATTTTGTACACTTTCTGTGTTCCTTTATGAAAATTGTTTCTTTTTATTTCATTTAATTTGGATTTCTTGTTGCATTTTGTACACTTTCTGTGTTCCATTATGAAAAATGTTTCTTTTATTTCATTTTGATTTGAAGTTCTTGTTGCATTTTGTACACTTTCTGTGTTCCTTTATGAAAATTGTTTCTTTTTATTTCATTTCATTTGGATTTCTTGTTGCATTTTGTACACTTTCTGTGTTCCTTTATGAAAATTGTTTCTTTTTATTTCATTTAATTTGGATTTCTTGTTGCATTTTGTACACTTTCTGTGTTCCATTATGAAAAATGTTTCTTTTATTTCATTTTGATTTGAAGTTCTTGTTGCATTTTGTACACTTTCTGTGTTCCTTTATGAAAATTGTTTCTTTTTGTTTCATTTCATTTGGATTTCTTGTTGCATTTTGTACACTTTCTGTGTTCCATTATGAAAAACGTTTCTTTTATTTCATTTTGATTTGAAGTTCTTGTTGCATTTTGTACACTTTCTGTGTTCCTTTATGAAAATTGTTTCTTTTTATTTCATTTAATTTGGATTTCTTGTTGCATTTTGTACACTTTCTGTGTTCCATTATGAAAAATGTTTCTTTTATTTCATTTTGATTTGAAGTTCTTGTTGCATTTTGTACACTTTCTGTGTTCCTTTATGAAAATTGTTTCTTTTTATTTCATTTCATTTGGATTTCTTGTTGCATTTTGTACACTTTCTGTGTTCCTTTATGAAAATTGTTTCTTTTTATTTCATTTAATTTGGATTTCTTGTTGCATTTGTACACTTTCTGTGTTCCTTTATGAAAATTGTTTCTTTTTATTTCATTTAATTTGGATTTCTTGTTGCATTTGTACACTTTCTGTGTTCCTTTATGAAAATTGTTTCTTTTTATTTCATTTAATTTAGATTTCTTGTTGCATTTGTACACTTTCTGTGTTCCTTTATGAAAATTGTTTCTTTTTATTTCATTTAATTTAGATTTCTTGTTGCATTTGTACACTTTCTGTGTTCCTTTATGAAAATTGTTTCTTTTTATTTCATTTAATTTGGATTTCTTTTTGCATTTGTACACTTTCTGTGTTCCTTTATGAAAATTGTTTCTTTTTATTTCATTTAATTTGGATTTCTTTTTGCATTTGTACACTTTCTGTGTTCCTTTATGAAAATTGTTTCTTTTTATTTCATTTAATTTGGATTTCTTGTTGCATTTGTACACTTTCTGTGTTCCTTTATGAAAATTGTTTCTTTTTATTTCATTTAATTTGGATTTCTTGTTGCATTTGTACACTTTCTGTGTTCCTTTATGAAAATTGTTTCTTTTTATTTCATTTAATTTAGATTTCTTGTTGCATTTGTACACTTTCTGTGTTCCTTTATGAAAATTGTTTCTTTTTATTTCATTTAATTTAGATTTCTTGTTGCATTTGTACACTTTCTGTGTTCCTTTATGAAAATTGTTTCTTTTTATTTCATTTAATTTAGATTTCTTGTTGCATTTTGTACATTTTCTGTGTTCGTTCATGAAAATTGTTTCTTTTTATTTCATTTAATTTGGATTTCTTGTTGCATTTTGTAAACTTTTTGTGTTCCTTTATGAAAATTGTTTCTTTTTATTTCATTTAATTTGGATTTCTTGTTGCATTTTGTATGCTTTCTGTGTTCCTTTATAAAAATTGTTTCTTTTTATTTATTTTGATTTCGATTACGTGTTGCATTTTGTACACTTTCTGTGTTTCTTTATGAAACTTGCTTCTTTTTATTTAATTTAATTTAATTTGTATCATTGATGCAGTTATTTTTTTCCTTTGTATAAAATTGTTTCTTTCTTCTGTGATAATTTCATTTAAAAATTTTAATTTAATTTTATAGATGTTTGTTCATTTTTACTACAGTCTCTTTGTTTTGTATTTAATTTTTGATATTTTTTAATTTTTTATGGTGATAATAGCCATGGAACCTTCCTGAGCAGCCAGTCATACATTCAGTTGAAATTTTTAAGGCAATAATTTCCAGTAGTGATGAGGGGGTAGTTTCCTTCTTAGCCTTTTATTTGAAACAGTGTGGAATGTTAACATCTTTATTATGTTAGTATCTTCTCATCAAATTATATGATATGCATTTTAATTGTTGCTATTCAATTCCAGTGATAAGTGAATTGGTTTCAGTTAGTTGGTAGAGTTCTTTGTTTTTGATCTTGTAGCACCAGTCCATGTGGTTCTACAAAAGCATAGTCCTACAGGATTCATTCAATCAAAGCCATTTGTACTCATTGATATGAAAAATCGGTTGTATACATCTGACGGTTTGGATATTACTGAATAAGTCTGGCGCCATGCATTACTTCCATATGAAAGGCTCAGTCAGATCTGGTATTTTTAGTTTAACGTTTTTGGTTTTGTAATTTGTGGTACTGGGCAAAACTACCTCTAGTGCAGCCTATTCTATATTGAATTTCCTTATTTTTGATACTAAATTTGTTATAACTGATCCATACACCAAGGGAAGGTCTCATCATTTTACAGTTCAAACTACCTCTAGTGCAGCCTATTCTATGTTTAATCTCCTTACTTTCTATACTAACTTATCCATACACTAAGGTACTTGAACTGTTTGGTATTTACTAAATCCATATTCTGAGTTTTTATGATAGATTCAGGGGATGTACCATCACATGGCACACTGAATTCATCTGAATTCCAGATCATTGTTTCTGTTTTGGTAAGAAGCTGACCACATTGAACTTATTATTAGAAATAAAAAAGTAAGTGAATGATAATGGTTCACTCTTGTTTATATGGGCATAGGGGGCTTAGCCCTAAAGAATTGAACTAGCGGAACTAGGAATATAGCTTGTCCGAATATTTTGCATGGAAATGACAACAGAGAAGTGATTGACGTGTGAAATTGCATCTGTGGGAAGGGGTTTTTAGGGAGTAAAGTAATTTATCACCTAAACACTTTTGACCTCCATTGAGTCTAGAGAGTGAAAATTTTGACACCCTAGGCCAGATATGGCAGAAATATATAATAGTTTAAACTGACTCTTCTAAAGATAGAGTGTGACATGGATAGAGCTTGTTGGAACCATGTTTACTTTCAATTGCCTGCCCTCTTCTTGGAGCCATGTTTACTTTCAATTGCCTGTTCTCTTCTTGGAGCCATGTTTACTTTCAATTGCCTGCCCTCTTCTTGGAGCCATGTTTACTTTCAATTGCCTGTTCTCTTCTTGGAACCATGTTTACTTTCAATTGCCTGCTCACTTTTTGGAACCATGTTTACTTTCAATTGCCTGTTCTCTTCTTGGAACCATGTTTACTTTCAATTGCCTGTTCTCTTCTTGGAGCCATGTTTACTTTTAATTCCCTGCTCTCTTCTTGGAGCCATGTTTTCCTTCATTTGCTTGCTCTCTTCTTGGAGCTATGTTTACTTTCAAATGTCTGCCCTCTTCTTGGAACCATGTTTACTTTCAATTGCCTGTTCTCTTCTTGGAACCATGTTTACTTTCAATTGCCTGCTCTCTTTTTGGAACCATGTTTACTTTCAATTGCCTGCTCTCTTCTTGGAACCATGTTTACTTTCAATTGCCTGCTCTCTTTTTGGAACCATGTTTACTTTCAATTGCCTGCTCTCTTCTTGGAACCATGTTTACTTTCAATTGCCTGCTCTCTTCTTGGAACCATGTTTACTTTCAAATGTCTGCCATCTTCTTGGAACCATGTTTACTTTCAATTGCCTGCTCTCTTTTTGGAACCATGTTTACTTTCAATTGCCTGTTCTCTTCTTGGAACCATGTTTACTTTCAATTGCCTGCTCTCTTCTTGGAACCATGTTTACTTTCAAATGTCTGCCATCTTCTTGGAACCATGTTTACTTTCAATTGCCTGCTCTCTTTTTGGAACCATGTTTACTTTCAATTGCCTGTTCTCTTCTTGGAACCATCTTCTTGGAACCATGTTTCTTTTGGAACCATGTTTCAATTGCCTGCTCTCTTCTCGGAGCCATGTTTACTTTCAATTGCCTGTTCTCTTCTTGGAGCCATGTTTTCCTTCATTTGCTTGCTCTCTTCTTGGTGCCATCTTTTCTTTCAATTGCCAGCACTCTTCTTGAAGAAATGTTTTCTTTCCATTGTCAATTCTTTTTTTGGAGACTTGTTATCTTTAATTGCCTGTAATCTTTTTGGAGCCTTGTTTGTTTTATTGACTGCTCTCTTGATGGCTCCAGATTTTCTTTCATTTTTCTACTCTTGTAGGGGACATATTTTCTTTCAATTTGCTGGAGCCATGTTTTCTTTTCATTGATTGCTCTACTGATGGAGCCAGGTTTTCATTCATTTGCTAACTCTCTTCTTGGAATCATGTTTTCTTTCACATGACTCCTCTCTTGTTGGAGTTAGGTTTTCTTTAATTGCTTGCAATCTTGTTGGAGCCATGTTTTCTTTCTTTTGACTGCTCTCTTAATGGCTCCATGTTGTCTTTCATTTCTCTACACTTGTAGTAGACATGTCTCTTTCCATTTGACTGATCTCTTCTTGGAACCGTGTTTTCTTTCCAATTATTGCTCTTCTAATGGAGCTAGTTTTTCTTTTAATTGCCAATTCTCTTGGAGAAATGTTTTTTTTCAATTGCCAACTCTCTTCTTTGAGGCATGTTTTCTTTCTTAAGTGTGCTCCCCATAATAAATTTAAAATTTATTACTAATTTCCTCACATTTTCTCAACAAGACTATAAAGCC